AAAACAATATTTGCAAATAATAGATTAGACTTATAAAATATATACCGAAAAATTATCTTCTTTGTTTTGGAGAAAAATTAAATTATATCTATTTTTATATATACATGTACATATCATTAATTTAGACAGTTTGCCATAGCTGTGAACATAGCTTATATTTTAGTTATATGCATAGTTCATTTCCAGATGATTATATTTATTAATTATTTATTGTATTTATTAATTAACAAAACAAAAAGGAGTCTTCAGTATATTTTACAAGTTTATTCTATCAATTGTTAAGTGTTGTTTTACTGAAACACTTCCATATTAATATATTTTGCGAGAATTTTTATTGTGTATTTTCTGATTCCTGACATCACAATCTGCGATAGTAGTGGTGAATAAAAGCCTTAATCACAAGAGGAAAGGACAGAGACTTAACGATTGGATTTATGTTCTGCAGTATTGTACAAGAAAGAGAAAATTGCCAGAAGTTTAAACGTATGCGTTTGTCTGATTGAATCCGCGAATTTAACACGTATGCACCCACTTTCTTCGGAAGCAAAGATGTCCCGTGATTCTTATATGGCCAAGTAACATCGACTTTAAGCCCGTCGTAAACCTTTTACCGCTTTATTTGAATTTCAAATTTCAGCCTTACACAACCACGCCGAAATCCACGCGGTATGCAACTGCGGCGCGGTACCACCAAATTTTTCACGACACTATATTTATTCTGACCCTTCATGTATAATTTGTAAGAACTCAGAGTGTTGAGGCCTTCGTAATCGTGACGAGTAACGCACGATACAACATGACAGAAATAACATTTAAATACAATATGTTATATACATGTATTATTGCATTTCCTTTCTTAATTTAAGACTGATTATTTATAATTGGATTACCAGAATATGATTGTGTAAACCTTACAGATTTGAAACAATAATATATTCATCAACGTGCGAGAAAAAAAAGAATATACCCTGTAAAAAAAATTTGTCAGTTTGTCCAAAAAATATAAAAAATGATAAATTCTAACAAATTCAGACAGTATTAATGAAATTTGACGGAAAGTATCTCATTTTATCTGTAACTGTCTGAATTTATTCGAATTTGTACATTTCGACAATTTTCGGAAACATTTAGGACGAATTCGGACACATGTTGATTACATTTCGGACAGTTTCGAATACATTCGGACAAATTTTTCCACCAGGGTAGGTATAATAATTTTTTTGGAGATTCCCGACGTGGTCATTGAGACCAAATACCGCATGCGTGCTATTGGAAAATATTGCATTACTATGCGTTACTTTCCGTCCCGATAAGATTTGTCGTTTCGAGACGACGGATCTGGTTTATGAGAAAGCTCGTCGTCGTTGTCGTGTCCACGATTATTGAAACGTGCCGCCGAACTGGGCGCCGACTACGCGGCGAGAGAAGGGAAACGTGCCGCGCGCGGCTTCACAAGGTCCTTAAATTAAATCGCGCTCTCCTCTCCGTTGTTTTGCGATCGGAAAAGGATTCTGGATAGTTGCCGGGTGTAGTTGAGAGCGTTCCGGTGTCGCTCGCAATCGGGGGCATAAAGTGTCCGCGTAAAGCAGAGTCCCGGATAGGCGCTCCGACGCCTGAGATGACCCAGGTGCGTCGCAGGAACGCGTCGGAACTTTGGAACCCCATTGCCGCCGCAATGTTGTTTGAATATTCATCTGCCTTTTTTTTTCTTCTCCCATTTCTTACCCGCGTATCACTAGAAACACATTTCCTTTTATTTTAAATACCGATTTGCGACGGTTTAACGAATATTGAATGCAACGAGAATCCCATTTGATTGAATCGACCAATCTCTTGTTTTGATATGGGTAAACAAATCTTTGGTTGATGTAATAAAATAATTTAGTTGAAGCAAAAAATTTGTTAATATAACATTTTACTTATGTTATCAGAAACATCATCTCATAATCGCGTCGATTCGCGATTTTTATACATAATTATAAATAAAAAAAAACAATAGAAAGTTAATTTTCTTTTTGAGATTCTGACATGCTCTCGAATATTTTGATTATAGCGTTACCCTTTTAGAGTAATTTTATGATATAGTTATATAAACAAGTGATAAAAGAAAAAAGAAATTCAATTACTTAAAAAAAAAAGAAAAATTTAGTTAACAATTGTATTAAATAGACGCGCGTTATATATTTATCGTACTATTAAAATTGGAGATGCTATTGCGCGTTTACACCATAATTTTTCTGAAAAGAACGTTTTAGCATTCGACGACAATGCGGCGATAGTATCGCGTAATATATTTTCAATCTTGCAACGAAATATCGCTACAATCATTCTATTTTCTTCTAAACATTAACTTACCTCGAAAATTCCTCCTATTGTAGTCGAGATATACTTTATCGCTTATGAAAGATGTACCTCACAAAAAATGTACATAGCCGTGTCATAAATTCTGTTCGCAAGAGAAATGTGTATTTCATGACTAAAATAAAAACAGTATGAAATGTACATTCATTTTATTGAATTGACCAATTACAAAATTGTAATAAAACTACAAGTATTATAACTATTAAAAATGTCCACTTTTCATCTTCACAAATTCTTTTAAACGGTAGGGCTTTAAATTTTCACAGCTCGTAAAACCTTAATGCAATATATGTATTTCGACGTTGATTTCATCAAATAAATTTCCCAACTAGAACTTAAAAAAATGAGATCAAGATTACATCAAATAGAATTTATTTTATGAAAAATTATAACGATGTATATTTGATACACTTTTGATGATGATTTTGTGATGAATTTTTGACATGTGCGTGTGAGATATGTGATTCCTTATTTAATTAAAAAATCATTTTATGTCAAGGATTTATCATAAAATTATAATCAAAAAGTGTATCAAATGACATTATAATTTTTCATAAAATAACTTATAATCTTGATTTTATTATTTTATATTCTACTTGGGAAATTGATTTGATGACACCATTATGATTTTTCCTAAAATGATTTCAACTTGACGTTATTTTGATCTTATTGTAATTTCTATCTGTGTTCAATATTTTGATGCAATTAAAAGAACAAGCCCTTTTCTAAAATTTAAACACGAAAAAAATTTTTTTTAGGAACGAGCGTTTCATTGAAATATTGAGGTTCTGGAGAGTGATCGGATAAAAGCAGCAACGTCACGATTTGTGTGTGCTGCAAGCATATTTGAAGCCCAACCGTTTAAAGAAATTTAATTGTGATGTCAAAAGGTGAAGATTTTTAATAGCTACAATTATTTTAATATTATATTATAATTGGTAAATTCAATAAAATCTGTATACATTTCATGCTTTTTATTTCAATCATAAAATAAATCTATTCGTCTTAGCAATAGAATTTATAGAACACAACATTATAATCCAGTAAACAAAAAGTATAACATAACATCAATATTATAATTTCCTATTCAACATTATATCTGTTATATACGCGGCGTGTTACACTTATATTGTTGAATGGGAATTAAATTTTAATAAATTGACGTAATGTAGGGTTGAGAGAGTTATTTTATAACCCAGTAAGCAACAAACATATTAGAATGTTCCAGCAATATTAAAACGTTGCTACAATGTTGCTGAAAGGTTCGAAAATGTTTCTTGCTTACTGGAAAGTTACTTACAAGGGTTTGGAAAGTTATTTCACAAGTTTTAAATTGCTTTTTTGTAGAAATTGAGTACAATAAATCCGGATATTTTATTTTTTATATTATATTTTATCATTTGCATCAATTTTGTATTAATTTTTATACTCAATTTCTATAACAAACACATATAATAAGGTAACATAAAAAATACCCGAGCAGAACAACAAAGTCATGATGACATTAAAATGAATCGGAAATGATTGAAAAATAACTTTTAATGATCATTTTAGTCATTTTGACATCATAATGACTTGTTGGTCTGCTTGGATAACTTCGAATTCACCTATATTTCTTGCACTTAATTTCTATAATAAATACATACAAGGTAAGCTAAAAAGTATATAACTTATAAAGTAACTCCAATCCCGATGTAATGTTACTATATTAGTATTAATCGTATATATATGTATCTATAATATATGGCGTAAAATGCTACTGCATCTCTTGGCTGCATTCCGTTTCACGCATGATGTGCATGATGCATCATTTATCCTTGTTTAACATTTGGTGAGTAACACACTGAAAAAAAGATTGGCTGTTGCACAAAATTAGATGGTAAAATATGGCATAGTATTTTTAATTGGCTGCAGCAGCCAATTTTTGGTTGCTTTAGCCTATCTGCAATGTCAGTATAGGATTTCGATAGACTAACACAACTAAAAATTGACTGCTGCAACCAATTAAAAATACTATGCCATATTTTACCATCTAATTTTGTGCAACAGCCAATCTTTTTTTTCAGTGCAAGAATAAATGATGCATCATGCGCATCATGCGTGAAACGGAACGCAGCCCTAGATACGTGCACGCATTTAAATAGAAATAAATAAAATCATACGCAAATGAAACAAGAGTCGCTGCCATTATTCAGGAGATAAATAGAGATCGATTAAAATCGCAATTTACGTACGTGATTTGAAATGATTAATTCCTTCGAGTTAACCGACGAGCGTGAAAGTCAGTCTAAATTGGAGGAGAGAAATAACGAAGGGAAACGGCCAAGAATATTTTCTAACTCACGCGGTTATCGTTGGAATGTTAAAAGGCCCAACTCCTCGTCAACTCGGATTTATTCGAATTAAAAGCTTGCAGGGCCGCACGCGATGATGCGAAACCGATCTTCATTCTTCACTCTTCGACCGCCGTGCTTTTACCGCGAAATGTAACGTGACACGATCACCATCTGCATTCTGTAACGTAAAAGTTCGGATACACATCGATAAAACAGCTTCATTTATTGACTGAGTGAAGAAAAAAGCGCAATCGATATTACCGGTATTCTCATTGCATCGTCAATTAGTTCTCTATTTCACAGGTCTCGTAGCGCGACAAGCATTGTTTAGACAAATGATTTTGTTAAGGCAGTAAAAGCGAAGTATTATTTAACAAAAATAATATCCATAGCAAGTGTTTTCGTGATTCGATTCGTTTGTTAATTTCGTTTAATCAGGTGAAATGAATGAAACTAATGAGTTGCCACCGGGAACAGCATCGCTACTTGAAGAACTCGAAAGTACGTATCTGTCTGTTTTATGTGATTTATGTGATTGAACACACTCACGTGCACTTTTTGTTATTACGATCTTTCGCACTTTCGTTATTATTATTGTCACTTGGTCATAGCTTGCAATGAACGTGTCGCAGAATGACACAAATTAATAATTTTAATTACATTAATAATGACAATATATTATTAATTGATAACAATGATAATTGTATTCTTTAACAAAATAAAACTTGTTAAATTATGAACTCAAAATGTATGTAAACTATTGAATGTAACAAAGTCATAATATGTCTAAAATCGGAAGAATTTATATTCTTATTTCTAAAGATATCAATATGTTTCAATTATGACATTTACTTCTTGTTTAGAAAAACTTATGGTTTTATTGAGAGATGGCAGAACGTTAATTGGTTATCTTAAAAGTGTCGATCAATTTGCTAATATAGTACTTCAAAGTACCATTGAAAGAATTCATGTTGGTCAAGAGTATGGTGACATTCCGAGAGGTATTTTCATAGTAAGAGGAGAGAATGTTGTGCTTTTAGGAGAAATAGTAAGCGTTTCACAAACAGAAAAATATTTGTTATAATTCTGCTAATAAACACTAATAATCCTGTACAGTATTCAATTAATGAATATATCCATATTACAGGATATAGAGAAGGAAAAAGTGTTGCCGTTGAAAAAGGTGACAGTGGATGAAATTTTGGATGCTCAGAGGCGCGAGCAAGAGTCTAAGCAGGAGCAGAAAAAGCGAATAAACAAAGCTCTGAAGGAGCGAGGTTTTGCGTATATACCAGATTTAAGTCACGATGATATGTACTGACGTATAAATGTACATATTTCTTTTTGTATCAAAAATTTACCTAATTAATTTACGTTAATTAAATATAACTATCACATGAGATTTACAATATCATTACTTCCAGACCATCTGTAATGTTTATAAAGTTATAAAATATCTCTGAAAAGCGCTATCATATATCTTATATTTTAAGAACAAAAAAGATAATGTGTCCTAGTTAGATTTACATGATTTTACATAAATAGCATATAATATAGATTAATCTTGAATAATGTTAAGATACTCAAATTCTCATACGATCACAATTAAATGCTATATTATGTGAGTTGTTTCTTATATAGTTTATTTTATTTATAAATATTTTGAACTTTGCGTTGCATAAATTATTTATTTAAGATACATAAAGATAATAATTACACTTGATATCAAAGCGTATCGTTATGTATTGTGCAATTTGATGATTACAAAATGAACTAAAAAAATATTTTGTTGCATTTTATAGCAATACACAGCTTTTACGAACGTCTTTATCAATATAGTCACAAAAGAGAAATGAAATTCTTTTAAATATCTTGCACCGTATGCACAGTTAATAACGATTTAATTTCCACATAAATGGAATAAATAATCCAGTTATTGTTGGATAATAAATTTATATTCGAGACAAAATTATATATAGAATACTCCACGCAACTAAGTGGAACTGTAATTTGAAAACGGAGATAGCAAAAATATTATAAGATAAAATAAAATGATTTTAGATGCTTCACATTTCTGCGTTACTTTCATGCGTTACAAAATGCAGTCGCATTTTTTTAAAATAAAACTCCATATTCTTGAATGCATTAATAGATGCAAATTTTTCCTCCTTTACAAAAAACTATTATAAAGTTATGCCCAAAAATTATCATGAATATGTAATAAATATCTTTGTAATCAGATAAAATAAATTTCTAAACTAACGATTTATATGTGTATATATATATATATATATGAACATAAATTTATAATTTTTTATAAAGCAGAAAAGCTGCATTAATTAGTGCACCTAAAAATACAGGGTTTTACTTTAAGCGCAACTGCACCTTATAATAGCGCTTATGCACAAAAATTTATGAAAGTAACATAGAAATATGAAGTATCTAAAATCATTTCATTTTCCTTCTGACATTTTTTCTATTCAAGTTGCCTTAAATAAATAGCTCTGTCCAATTATGTGAAACTCTGTATAAAGTCATACTGATCAACTTAAATTAATTGGCAACTCTCCTTAGCCTTAGTATACAACGTACAGAGAAATCTATTTAAACTTAACGATATATTAATACTAATAATTAAATAATTTGTATGGATAGCTTAAAATGATGTCTCTTGAAAGCTATCTTCCATTTTTGCTGGCTTTAATGTCGACTCGTCGCGCAGTTTATGTTTGCACTCTTCGCTTCTTGTGCTCTTGACTACACTTTCTCTCACGGATTTTTTAGAATCATTTCGTTGTAAGCTAGTCCCTCGTTTTCTCGGAGAAGACAATTCTTCTGTTTTCTCAGTGGAATTATTTGCACTATTCGTGCTGCCAGACGCAATGCCGGAAGTGTCAGATTCTGGTTGATTACCATCCAAGCAACACAGTAAACTATCAGACAATGTATCGTCATTTAATATATTCAAATCGGATTCCGATTGCTCAAAGTCTCCTGTCCGTGATGTAAAACTAAGATCGACAGGACTGGCGGTTAATACACTTCTTGACAACAGATATTCCCTGAACGTGCTCGTTATGGACATTGAACTTTGTTGCGTACAGGCGCAACAGTTTGCAACGGATTGTATACAGCTATGTTTCTCGAGCGTGTCTAATCTGTTTTCTTTATTCTCGACTTCTTTTGTGTAAGCTAACGCATTGTCTGTACTGCTGTATGTCTGGGATTCCTCTAAAATGGAAGCACAATTATTTATTGTACTAACCATATCTAGATTTGATCCATATAAATCGCAACTATTGCTGCCAGTGACGAGATTGCATAGATTCGAAGTTGAAACAATCATTACAGGCTTCCTGGAGCGAGGAGTCATCATAGTTTCCTATTACAAATTTAAAAATTCATATATTTTTAAGTTTATGTTATGTTACAATTTTAATTTGACATTTATTTCAATATTTCAGTATTTTTTAATTACATATATATTTTTATACAGAAATATATTATTTTCAATTTACATACCTGCATGGCTTTCGTCATCTTTGTTGCGCTTTGCGTAATCGGACTCATGCTTCTATCATTGTTAGTAATAGGAGTCAAGATATAGTCGTTAGTTGCCAAGCTTCGTAATAAACTCGATGGCGTCGATGTATGAACGGCATACACATTCCTGAATCTGTTTTTTACCATCGGAGACTGTAAATTATGTGTACATGCATTTTCAACGTGTGATTCAACATTCAAAGTAGTTTCGGATGATTTTACATTCGAGATACAAGTTTTTGAAGGAAAGCTTTTCACATTTGATGTTGCAATAGATGTGAGGACGGATTCCGAGTTTCGCCGCACGAATTCACTATTATCCATTAAATTATTGTGAGTGGAATACAAGTTAGGTGGCTCACTAAATGGTCGTGTTAATTTATCAGTGTCAGAGTGACTATCCTCATTAACCATTACATTAATTTCTTGTAAACTTGAACTCAAACTGAGTTCGACAGAACCCAAGTCCTGTTTTGTATCATGTGCGTTTTTTCCATCCAATTCATCTTTCGTATCTGTAGATTCATTGATTGATGTTATCTTTCTTGTTCTACAACTTGTCAAAGTTTCATTCTTAATACTATCTATACTATTCATGTGTTTGGCATGTAAAAGATCGTTATTAGTTGTATCACAGTTTTCCGTGCTAAGTTCGTCATTTGATTTGCTAAGAACAAAAGAAAAATAGATAAAAGTGATAAACATGCTATTGTTATACACAAACAAATAATAAACATTTAACAAAAAATATTCTATAGAAAGATGAAGATTGTAAGGAAACTAACCGTTGACAATATATTTTCTTCACTGCTTGATCTAGTGATATTGCATCCGATATTAATGTCAACGAATTTCTTGTGGCCTAGGATTTTCTTTTGAAAGATGTGCTTCTTAATGGAATCTCCAAGACTTTTAGTTTTGCAATTCTTTACGTGTCTGGGTGTACCTTGTCCATTTTCCTTGTTAAATTGTTTTATGAGTCGCCGCTTTTTGGCAGATTCCGGCATGGCTTGTATATGAGCGTATAGCTGTGCCAAGGCTGCCTGTGTATCTTGCGTAGAATTAGCCTTCGCTGTCAACTTACGATCGACAAAACTGAACACAGTATGGGCTGTACTAGTTGCATCTGGTACTGACTCGTTTAACTGTAATTGTAAATCTTTTATCATATTGCGCAAGGATAGGACAGAGTATCATTTTAAATTTGAAACTTACATCAGTCTTCTTAGGGCTCAGCAATTTTCTTTCTTGTTCCACCCAATATGCTCTTATATCTGTAGCCAATTTTGGTGGAATCTCAAATAGTTCTATACCTTTTCTAATCATAAATGCAACTAGACACGACAGATTCTGAGAATTGATATGCAAAGCTTCAGGTGACAGTTTTCGTGGACACAATAAATGAGGTGTAAAGAGAGTGGCTAGCGTGTCACTGTTCATTTTGTTACTGTACTCATAACTCGCCGTCTTATTCAATAAGGTAACAATAGCTTTCAGTAAAATTCTGTTAGGAGGTGGCAAAAGCAGCAACAGCAATTGTAAGGAACTTAATAGTCTTGCATGGTTTGTTTTTGCATCCAAACTGCACAATTCTGCAAGTAATAGGACCATAGTAAATATGTTTTACACATCATATGTAAAACTATATGCTTTGTTTTAATTACCAGCAATCTGGCAATGCGCTGGATAATGTAAATCCGTTAAGAGTGGTTCAGATAGTTCTGCCAGAAACGTTTTTAACACAGAGGCACAATCGTGTACACTAAATCTACCATCATCAAGATCTAAAAATACACCTTGAGACATAGCTGTTTTTAAATCCTGCTGCCTTGTTAATTTTCCAGTCCGTCGGAATATTCCCTCTTGTATGATGTCTATAGGATGAAAATAAAGCTATATTTAATTCCATTCTTGAATTTTCCATTATCTAATATATTTACTTACTTTGTTCCTTAGACAGATAATCTATCAGTTGCGTCAAATGATTTATACCGTTTTCAGATAACATAACACCTTCTGTACCCTTTTCTAAATTGACTGAAGATTTAGATTTCTTGGTGAAGCTTAAAAGACCCCACTTCTTCAATCTTGCTTTCTCAGTAATACCGTCACTGCTAAAGAAGGATCGATCAAGATATTATCAGCGTATTATATAATTAAATTACACTTATATTTTATAATGAGTTTCGTCATAATAGAGAACAATTTATAAATCATCATTTACGATTAATAAGCCAATTGTCATAGCCGTTATATAAAACAGGCAAAATAGAAAATGAAAATTAGATCTTGTCTGTCAGTGTCAACGGTATACCAATCATGCAAGGAAAACGGATAGTCGTGCAACGTTATCACCTACTCTTCTGTGTTAAGATCCAGTTCGAAGGACAGATGCATTTTTACAAGCGTGTGAAATTGCTCGGGATTGACTTTTCGCATTCTAAAAGCTAGCTTTCCATCCACCCCGTCGTTAAAATCTGCCATCGTTGTGTATATGGAAGAACGAGCAATTTAAACGCGTACCTACATGTTGAATCCGACAAACGGTAGTGATACCACACGCTGACAGTCATAACACCCAAATAAATTCGATGCGAGTCGAGGATGACCATCTAGGGAATTTTGAGGCGTTATGCAGTGTCGCAGCGCGTTAGAAATTTAACTTATCCAATCAAAATAAGGTTCATTGGCTGCGTTCAGCAGACTCAACAGTTTTGCAACCGTTTTATGATTGTCTGCTGAGATAGGACCATTCTTCTAGATCTAAAAATATGATCCAATTAGCGCGAAGGAAACTTCCAACAGTTGCAAAACAAACGTTCTGCTGAACGCACCCAATGTCTCTACTTATACCTAGTGTCCCTAAATACAGAGTCTGGTCAAGTCATGTATCTCTTTTGATTGGGTCACG